ATTAAATACCAAATTGACACTTCTACTCTCAAGTAGGGAAGTTAATCCGATTGACACTTGACTCTTACTTCTACCTTGACAACAGGGCACCTGAGGACAGCCAAGAAAGTAAGATGGATGATGAGGTACACCTAATTATGCCCTTCAACTTTATCTGCCTGCTGCTGCCTGCTAGTAACATCTACTAATGATAAGATGATAGTCAAGCATTGCTACGACTGCAGGAGAAGAATGTAATGCTATTAAGTATCAATAGAACTGTGTTTCCATCAGAATGGAAAATGTGGAGGAAGATGGATCAAAGTTGTTTGAGGTGAGTAGAATAAATAGCACTTATTTTTTAAACTTTATATAAGCTTCCACCAGCTGATGATCTCCAAATGTGTTGGATCAGTTCCCATAATTCCAAACCCTCTATGATTGATAGGGGGATTCCACAAGTTGAAATCCAATTCCTTTTGAAGATACTAGTTTGGAGAAGCCTGTTTTATACAGTAGTTGTGCTACTGTAACTGTACAACTGGGTTTCTATTTATAATAATAGTGTTTAAAGATACACTTACTTAGGGTCACTTAAGCTCAGAATGTTCCATTACTTCAAACTGCCTGTCCACTAACCACAAGCTGGCTTCACACAGCATGTTAACTAAAATGTGGTTCAGTGGAGGTGAGGAGATCATGTAGACCTCTGACTGAGGAAGAAATGAACGAATCATTAAAGGGGAACTTTAAAAAAATCTTAGTTCTGAGGAAGAGGAAAGTGTGAGAAAGAAAATCAAAACAACTTTGCCTCAATTTTGTTTGCTATAAGAGGAAGTGGAGAGAAATTTGGATTCAAGATTCTATTATTATACTCTATAGCAGGGATGTCAAACTCGTGCCATCACGGCAGCATCACATGACATATTGGGAATTTCCCCCCTTCCCTAAACCGGGCATGGGTGTGGCCACTGCATGACACATCTGGCCCATGGGCTGCGAGTTTGACAGCCCTGCTCTATAGCAAAAAAGAGAATTGTTAGAATCCCTGCTGTGCCTGTTTTTTGACCTTGCCAATCTTGAAAAGATGAAAATATACACGTAAAAAATGCTAGTGATGATTTACTTTGCTCTTAAGGAGTAAACTATTCATATGATAGCTGCTCTGACCAAGGAGGAAACAGAAATTGCAAAAGAAATCTGAATTGTCCTTCCTATTTTTATGCAGTTGGTATAATGTCTGTAATTAACCTCCATGAAATAGATATAATTTCTTTCCATCTCAGTGAAAATTTTAAAGTAACTGTACAAAACATTTTTTTGCTAGCCTGGTAGGATGATAGAACAAGCATAAGTGAATTTACTCCATTACAAAGGTATATTTTCAGGAAGACTGACTTACTACTAAATGAGTGAAGTTACACCCTATGTACATGTTCATTTGCTTACTTGAATGCAGATTAATTTTGTACTTTCAAAGTTAGTCTTGCTCAGGGTGTGGTCTTTTCACATTTTATTCAGACTAAACACTCATTCAAAGTTATCTTTCTTATACAACACAACATCCCTCCCCCCCAGGATAATGACAATCTAATTTGCTTTTGACCTCCTGTGTGAATAGCCATGATAGCTTATTATCCATGACTACACATGTAGTATAGACACTGTTTTGCTGGTAAGAATCACACTTAATGTCTCCTGCAAAAGTAAACACATGCTGGCTTCCCACGTTGTATAAATTTACCTTTTTGGATTAAGCATAATGGGGTTTCGTTTTGGTTTAGCATGTTGTATGAATGCTGCCATTGCAGTTTGTGTTGATTTAGTGTTGTGCAAACATTGGTTATGGAGAAGGGGAAAGACCACAATAGTCAGAATGATGCTGAAAAATGAGTGGGACTTTACTCCATTTCTGGAAAGGCTATGTTTTTCTTGTATTGCTGGATTTTTGAAGATACTTTACCTGGGTGCCTCTAAACCAGTGACGGGATTCAGCCGGTTCAGGCCAGTTCAGGTGAACCAGTAGTTAAACTGTTGGCTGGCCCCACCCCTTCCTGCCCCGCCCTTCCAGGAGTCCCCATGCACCCCATTTTGGCTCCCAGGTAAGTGCAGGGAGGCCTCCTAGGCCCATAATAGGGCGTGGGAGGAAGGTGCACCCCCCACGGCCCATTTTTGCTCTCAGAAGGCTTCAGGGAGGTCTCTTAGGCCCAAAACAGGCACGAGGGGTGGCCTGCACCCCATTTTCGTTCCCAGGCGGCTTCAGGAAAGCCTACTAAGCCCAAAACAAGGCATGGGGGAGTGGGTGATACATCCCCCTGCAACCTATTTTGCTCAGCCCAGGGGGGTGCAGGAGGCCGAGTGCTACTTGTTACATCCCCTGGCCATGCCCACCAAGTCATGCTCACAGAACCGATAGTAAAAAAATTTGAATCCCACCACTGCTCTAAACTGTACAGCAAGTCAGAAGTACCGTAATTGTAGAAATCTGTTTTATGACACAAATTTGTCTGGGAGCCGGGTTGAACCCTTTCAAGCTCAATGCTGGTTTATTGAAAATCACAACAAAGTTGGCTTTTTCCCTTACAAAGCTACATCATTGCAGAGCCTGTGAATATTTTCTCACTGATAGGAACTCTGGCCTCACATCACTTCCTGGATCTTTAGCTCAGAGCAACCTTTACCTATTGGCTCTGGTTGTTCCACACTCAGAATAACAGACTTGGAAGGGATCTTCTAATCCAAGCCCCTGCTCAGGTAGGAAACCTTGTATCATTTCAGACAGATGATTGTCCAATCTCTTTTTATAAATGTGTTGGAGTGTTTCTTAAAAGCGATGGAGCACAACTTCTGGAGGCAAGCTGTTCCACTGATTAATTGTTTGAACTGTTAGGAAATTAATTTGCTTCTTGCCATCCATTGCTTCTTGTCCTCCCTTCAGATATTTTGGAGAATAGATTGACCTCCTATTCCAGTGATGGCTAACCTTTTGGCCATCGTGTGCCAGGGGGGGCAGGGGAGGTTCGCGCATGTATGTGACCACACCCATAATTCTATGTGCCCTGCCCTGCACATGCGGCACAACCCCTCCACCCCCCACTACTGGCATGCGATGGCCCGGTAGGCCCATTTTTCTTTCTCACCTGGCTCCAGATCCTCTCTATGCATCTGGGAAGGGCGAAAACAGCTTTTCGTACTCCCTCGGAGGCCCTCCAGAAGCCTGAAACAGCCCATTTCCCAACTCCCGGTAGGACAGGAAGTACTTTTTTTGCTGTCCCCCCACCTCCAGGGACTCCTAGAGAGGCCTCCGAGGCAGTAGGAAAGGCTGTTTTTGCCTTCCCCAGATGCATAGATAGGATCTGGAACCAAGTGAGAAAGAAAAATGGGCCTTCCCCACCCACCCCAGGCCCTCCGGAGGCAGGAAACAGCCTGTTTCACTATTTCTTGTGGGCCCAGAAAGGGCCGAAAATCAGCTGAGCTGCCGTGCCCACTGATATGGCTACGCGTGCCATCTGATACGGCTTGCCATCACGGCCCTATTCTTTGTGGTAGCTCCTTAAATATGGGACCACTACTGTCACTTGGTTCCTGATGGCTATTAGCAGCTGTCTCCAAACCCTTCTGTGCAACCACGGTTCTAGTAATGGGAAAAACATCTGGTTTCAAAGGTACCAACATGCATTTGTTTCACCCTGACTACTTACTAGGTGTGTTTATATGCAGAAGAAGGAAGGCTTTGCAATCAAGGCATTTTCCTACAGCAACTATGCATATTTAATATTATTGTTTTAAATTTTGCAAAGGATCAGACAAATGCAGACAAGAATATTGACTAAAAATGCCAAATGTGGAAGGTGCCGGTAATTTATTTTAATTCCTTTTGTGTGGAATGAAACTGAGAGGATTTTCGTTGTGGCAGAACCAAGGATAACTTTGGGTGAAGTACTGGTTGAATTATATTCGTGGTCTTGTCTTATTCCTCAGCCAGAGAGGGGAACGTTTGGCTCATGGTGGTCTGGATGTGTTCTCAGTGTTCTGAGACCTGCAAAAATGACCATTTTGGGATAAGGATGTGACTTTAATTGTGCTATGGCATTTTATATTATTTGCAGCTTTGCAGTCCAGAGCTCTTATCAATGAAATAGATGACTAAAAGCTACCAAATATGTTTTAAAAAGTGATATAAAGGTTTGCCAGTTTATCTGCAACAATTGCGTGCTTGTCTTCTACTATTACTACCTTGCAAACACGTTATAGGCTTACACATCTCTATCTCTACAGCTGAAATATGCACATGACACCGTGTTATATAAATTAAGAAAGTTGCTGCTTCTACAATGGACAGTGATAGGGACTGCAGAAGACTTCAGATTCCTCAAAATTGCAATTAGTAATGTTCTTAGAAGTCGCTCCCTTTCAGCCCAATTCACCTCACAGGTTCTTGTGTGGAAGTTAAGAGGAAGGTGTATTAGGTATATTTATTGCCTTGGATCATTTATAAAAATAAAGGTGGAATTTAAAAAATCTAGAAAATTTCTTTTTCTAATAACTGATTGCATATACTTTTGAACAGAGGCAAATGAAACACTTGCTCTTTGTAACTGATTTGGTTAACCATAATCTCTATTTGTGCCTAAATAACTTTAATTATTTAAAATCAGGCGCTCTTGCAAATGAAACTAGTAAATCAGGTTCATGGAGTGTTAAAGATAAGGCCTACCATCTATTTAATTCAGATTATGTCTCATTAGATTAAGTAAGATTTTCTTCCAAAGAAATATAGAAGTAAAGCAATTATAATGGAGAAATTTACTTGCAGTTTGAACCTAAAATTATTTTTAAAAATGTCCTTAAAGTTATCTATTTCCAAGTTTTATCAATAGTATAAGAATATAGGTAATTTAGTTCCAAGTGAATGTATATATGTTACATTTGAAAAAGCATATAAAAACTAAGGTAGTTTGAAGGAAGTTGTGTGTGTGTATGTGTGTTTACCTGAAAAGATCATCCAGGAAAGTCCAGACTAAATCATGCTTTCATTTATTCACTTCATATAAAAATCTCTTCAGAATGCATCTCAACACAATATATAATACTATAACAACATACATTGTGTGAAACTTTCAGACAATAAAATAACCACCTGGAACAATGCAGTGTTCAACAGACATATAAACCCATGTATCATGCACAGCTGTGCTATTTTCATCAACTAATTAGTCACAAGTTGGACTGAAAGCTTGAAACATAGCTTTACAAATCGGCACTGTATACATGCCTCACAAGCTTTGTTGGAAGAGGTTTCACAGCACAATTATAGTATCAGTTCACATTTTGTCATAGAAACTCACATTGGCTACTTTGAAAATTGGAAAATGACAGGTGGTTTTGTGGCATTTACTGGGCGCGTCCTTTTCAACATTTCAGTAGTTTCATTTCTGATGAACAAACCATCCTAGTTCCTCAGCAGTTACCAAACCCCGATTTCCAGAATCCAAATGAAAATGAAATCAAATGGGAGCCAATGTCTGAATGCCCTTTCTGGGTTCCATATGTCTCTTTCACTGTGCTCAGGTTCTTTCCATTTTACGCAGTACAAAAAATTACAAGAAAGGCAACTCTCATTCAGAGTCTTCTACACAAATAACATCACCACTGACAGGCAATGTTAATTTATATAAATTAATACTTACAAAACATTACATTATATACAATACATAATAAATACACTGTTATAAACAGTACTGGACATGTAATAGCTCAAGGCAAGTTGAGGAGAAGAAAAGGAGACTCAGCCTAGCGAACATGAAGAATGGGGGTGGGTGGGGAGCACAGTAGGACCAAACACAAAAATTCAACTGAGTTTTGTTTTTTTAAAGGGGAGATTGTCCATCATATTACAACATGTTGGTTTTTATACGTACTGCATTGTCTAATGAGAATGCAACACTACTTCATCCTGTGTACAACAAAAATCAAAAACAGTTGAGTGGAAAACCATTTGTTTATGTGTGGCAAGTAACACAAGAGAAACCTAGATTTTGTGGGACTAATAAAGTGACCAGTGATGCAGTAATGCAAGGAGGAGGGCACCCTGCTTTATTTAGTGAGTCAAAACAATTAAACTGCGGTAAACACAAGTATTGCCCGTAGAGAGGAAGACTTTCTTCATTAAACAGGATTAGTAATAATATAAAATATATATTGGTATCAAACAAGTTTTGTTGTGTATTTAGTAGGCGTCTCGAAAAGATGTGGAAGTATTTATAAAAAAGGCACACGGGTCTGAGACAGGTGCACAAATTTTAAATGCAAAATTACGAAACCGTATTTTGAGCTGTTGGACCGAACTGGATGTCAGAATCTATTAAGAATAGAAAATATTATGATTGTGTGTCATTCCCTAGCGGGCTTGTTCAGTAACAGCTCATACTGCCTCCCTATCACCAGGTTTATTTTGTTTTTGGCTGATAAAACTTAAGCTGCAGTAGATATCACCTGTTAATTCCTGAGCAGTCATTACACACTCTTTAACCCTGACTCCAATCTCGAGTAATTGGAAAGTCTTCTAGCCAATAACAGGTGCTGGCCTAAGAGCCAGACTTTCAGGCTATAGCACATGAGACAATCTGCATGTGCGTGAATAAAATCACCATCACGAATACAGTGTGTTAAGTATCAATCGGCGATGCATCTTTTGTCACAATCTCTATATTAGTGTCCTGCTGGGAATCCCTTTTTCCTGTGTCAATGACACAAAGTGTCTTGGTACTGCTGTAATAATGGATACTGTCACTCTCTTTCTCAGGCCCATCAGAGTCTTCCTCTTCAAGAGTAAGGTCAAACTGGAACTTCTCCATCAGGCCCTGACAGTCTTGGCTGCGTTCTTCGAGGGGAGGGGAAGGGCTCTGAGGGATCATACTTTGATACCAATTACGGTTGTCTTCCAGGGTGTCCAAAATATCTTGAGCATCGGGCTGTACTAGGTCTGCCCAGGTCTCCCAAAGTGGATGAACAATATAATCAATGAATCCCACCTGCAATGCAAGTACAATCGATTTGTAATGAAATGTTGTTTCAATATTTATGAATTTTCTCTCAGCTTTACATTTAAAGCAACTAGAAATTACGGTACATTAGTATTTATTTATGCTGCGATTTATCTAACAAATCGCTCAATTTTTTTAAAGGATAAAACAGAGTGAGTACTAAAAACCATTAAAAACTAGATGGGATCATATAATCTCTGCTGTTATGATATATCTAAAGAAGGAGTGATCTAACCTGTTTAGAGGGGAATTGCCAAAACCAGAATGCTGATATTAAAGAAGAATATTGCTTTCTGTGTATTTGGGGGAAATTTATTGGGCGTGGATCATTATGGCCAGATTTGTTTATTTTATTTATTACTCAAATTTATATAGCTACTCATCTTACTGATAAAAGTAAATATTATAAAAATAGAAATACAAACCCTAGGTAAAGAAAGGATAAGAATAGCCAGCATAGCAATGGAGCTATCTAATCATGGTCCTGGTTTCCTTGGGAGGCTCAGGCCTGACAACATAACTAAATTTTGAGGGTCTTCTGGAATATCAAAAGTGATGAAGCTAATCTAATTCCGGGGGGAGGGAGATGTTCCATAAAACTGGCACCAAGGCAGGGAAGACACATGTCCTGGGACCCACCAAATGAAGATCCGTAGCTGATGATATCTGCAAGACACCTTTTCTGAAGGATCTAATGGGATGGGGGGATGGGGTGGTCTCTCAGACAGCCCGGCCCCAGGCCATTAATGGCTTTAAAGGTCAAAACCAGAACCTTGAATTGGACTTTGAAGCAAACTGGCAATCTATGCACTTGCAGAGCATGGATGTAACATGCTCTGTTCTAGGAATGCAGATAACTGTACCAGCTGAGGCTTCTGGGTACTCTTCAAGAGCAATTATAGAGCACATTGAAATTGTCCAATCTGGAGTGACTGAGGCATGAGTGGCTTAGATTTGTTTTCTTCAGGAAGGGATGCAGATATTGCATTAGCAAAGCTTAAAGAAAGCATTCCTGACTGACTCCTATTGCCACAATTCTTTCCAGATCAGTACCCAGATCACTTGCATTTCCAAGATTTCCATCCTACAAATGCAGCTCTGGGTTGGTAACCTTCAATCATAAAATGATAGTCTAACATTAGAATCAAATGTCCAGTGGAACTAACACTGATTTTTCCACCCATTGTCTAAATCTCAGCGTAGGCCAAGATCAAGGCTCTTTCTATCCTATAATCAGGTTAGACAAAGCCCAAATAATTAGCTTTGCCCTAAAAAACACTTCTAACAAAATTCATAAATTAAAAGCTGCCATTACTGTAGCAGCAAGTTTGCTGCTGCTGCTCAGTAAGTTTGTTTTATTTTTTTAATCATGTCACGCTGTTGCTATATAATTTATGGCAATTATATAAGAAACATCTGTATAGCAGTATTTGCATATGAAGAAACTACAAGGTACTGTCAGTGGGAGCTATTTTTAATTATTAGGGTATTCAGACGTAATGGAAATCATGGCATCTGTTGCCTGCTTGAGCTGAAGTGAATCTTGGATGCCTTCCTCCTCCGAGGAAAAAGAACATAGAGGAGTTCTTAAGTTTCTGTTCCAAAATTAAAACTGGTTAGTAACTATTTTTTAAGATATCAGGACTCAGGGAAAAAGCTGTTAACAGCCCGTCACATTAAACGGTGTATTATGAAAGGACTTATTAACATTTAAATTGTTTGGTGTGATGTAGAAGTCTAACTATAAAAGAAATGCTTATTGGATGTGGTTACTGTATTAATGCACTTCAGTGAAAATTACCACCTCACTAAACTGATGGTATCTTATTTTTTTTTAAAAAGGAGAAATATTACTCCTCCAAGTATCTCTTAAACAATGTAGATAAAAATGCTGGTACACTATGACATGATGAAAATCTTTACTTCACTAAAACTTTGGAATTGATGTGATTTTTAGGGTTAGTGTTAAAAAGCTGACTTTTTCTGGGATCTGTTTAGAACTTTCATGTTATTTTGCTGTTTTGTGGAATTTATTTATGGTTAACTTGCTTGAATATAATATCATTCAATGGAGAAATGTATGACATTAAGGGGAAATAATGACTGTTCCTGGTATTATCCATTATGTAATAAAGCTCAGGATAACATAAATTCTTAGTTGACAAGCAGGATGAACTGGATTGAGGAAAGTGAATGAACAATAAAAGCTATGGAAAAGTTTCTTGTCTGACTGGATTTCCTTGCTTAACTCCAAAAACCGCTGGGTGGCAATTCAGCGGAACAGGAAAATAGTTCTCAAAGGAACCCATCTCTGGCTAGGATGTTTGGTTTGGAAATCACATTTGACTCCTTCAGACACAACAGGATGTTGAACAAGCCAGTACAATTCTATTGTAACTGCTGAGGTACCTTAAGCCAAAAAGTGACAGAAAGTTCCTGCAACCTATATTCAGTGGAGACTTTTTAGTAAAATCACTTTGTTTGGTTATCACAACATGGAGAACTTTAGCTCTTTACATCCATTTAAGGAAACCTCCAGAACTAAGTTGAGAATTAATTTTTACAGTATTAGCTCAGGTCCAAAAAACAAAACAAAAAAAACCCAAACATACAAACAAACCGGGTCATTGTTTCAGAGATATTTCCTTATCAGATTCCTCAATGCCTTTAACAATGGCAGAGCTTCAATTCTTTAAAATTCAAGAGATATTCAGAGATGTATCTGTCTTGAAAGTAGCCCATGCTGAATATATAGCATTCAAACCTGAGGAGTTGGCCACAGGGAACGTTTTTACGACATTTTGCATTATGTCATAAAATACTTTTATGATAAGTTTTATGTCATAAAATATTTTATAAAATTTGTCAAATTTGAATTCCACATGAGCCCTGGATTTTGGATGTATTTTATAAGTTAGTCCATTTGAGATAGCTTGGTTCAGAGGTGCGTGGCACATAAATTAACAACCGGTTTGCCCAGCACCGAAAATGTGAGTGTGTACGCGCGCGCCCTTCTGTGCATGTGCTTCGCTCACGCGCACGGCTTGCACACATGCACGTGGCTTAAAAATGCAGCTAAATAGGACGGCATAGCGCCGGGGCAGGTGGGCCGGATCCCAACTACCGGCTCACCCAAACCAGTCCCGAAACAGCAGCAGCCCACCACTGGCTTGGTTCAAAAAATTTTGCTGTATCATGAATGTTTTGCCCAGTGAAAGGTTACAGACCTGAGAGTTTTAGTAGTATATAGATAGAAGGAACATTAGAGGCTGATGAAAGGTCTCACAGTGGCTCAAACAAAGGAAGCCTCTGCAGCCTAACCCTGACACTTTAACCACAGCATGAAAATGGCTCTAAAGTGCTCACAGTTAACACTGATTACTTCCTTGGAAAATGAAAAAGTGAGAATTGAAAACCATGTCCTATCAGCTAACGGAGGAAAGGTGCTGCATCTTGTTTCTTCACAAAACGTAAGTGGTTGGAGTAAGAGGACCTACCCTTTCCAATCTTGAAATCTCTGCTACTTGTTGACTATATTACAAGAGAAGAAACAATGGTGCCAAGCCAGAAACTGGCATATGTTTGGCTAACCTTGGCCCTTGCTAAGAACACATACTGGTCCAGTTTATGTGAAGCAGCACCATCATTGAAATGCTCTGCAGGTAGCCTTTCAGAGTTTTCCAGGAGCATAATGTGGGATTTATGGCAAACAGATCGCCTTCTATTGACAAAATCTCCTTGTGCTGATGTTAGAAAATGTCTGCATTATCCTCTATCATTCAGTGGAATTTATTATGTATAATGTTGCAGGTATGTTTTTACAAAAGTGCAAAAGGCATTTGAAAAGATGTGATTAATCTATCTGGTACGCTAAAGAGAGAAATCTACTGGGGAATTTCGCATGACATTTTTAAAAGGATGTGTTTCCCCAAGACTTACTGGTAACAGAGCAACATTATTAATCCTAAATTGGAACATTCCTGACAGATCAAAAAGAGAAAAGTCAAATACCTGAGACTTCTCCACAGAAGCTGTGTGCTTGTCACACATTGGGCTGATTTCCATTCCCCTCTCCCGTTCTTTGTCCCCTTGCTGGAAAAACTCCTCCATAATTCTATCTGTCCACTGCCGATAGAGTTCAAGAGATTTTGTAGGATTACTTAAATCAGCACAATGGACCATATTTCGGAGAACCTGCAATGCAAAAATGATAACATGAAGACTCATGTAATCATGTAAAACAGGGCAACATTTTGTCCTGTACTTGTTGGTACTTTGAAAGCAGTTTCACATTAATGCACTTTTTGATTAAAGAGATTTGTTTTAGAAAAATGTATGAAACATATCTAAAGTACATTTTCATCAAGAGACATATTAAATTATTTGAAGGAAGATTAATTGTAGATATGCAGAATAAAGTGTTACAAATTGTACTGGTCACCTGAATTATCCAAGCATAATTTCAAGCCAATTTAAGGTACAGTATCTATCATTTTCTTTAATAGAAAATTGCTTTGAATAGTTATATTCTTCTCATATCTTATTGGACAAGTCCACATAGAAGATTAATGAACTGGAGATAAACAGAAGATTTAAAGGTCTCTGTTTCAATTGTGGGCACTGGCACCTCCAGTAAAATCAGAGTAATCTAGCGACAAATGATTAGGATTATGACTAGGTAGTTTAGGGTAACTTTCATCTCATCTCATCTTAATGCTTATGGGCTGTCAGTATTTCTCAGTCTTATGTGAAGATAAACTATATCTTCACATAAGATATAGTTCACAAAACTATAATAAGGAGTATAACAAATATATAATAAAATTAACAAAAATAAAAATATATAATGAAAAATAAGTACATGTAGCCTTCATGACTTTGATGAAGAATGCATGGTCCAGATTTAAGGAGGTTAGGCATAGATAAAATAGTATCTGATTGTCCACTGAAGTCTGTACAAAGTGTTTACCTAGATATGTTTCTTTTGTCCTGGCAAATCTCTTTTGAACTGGAGGATTACCTGAAGTAATTCTTAGAACTCATGTTCTGCTTGCTGCAGTGTGAAGACACTTCTACAACTAGCCTTTTGTTGAGGACATGAAGACATGTCTTCTTCACTCCAGATCTACTCTGAAAGAAAGTTTCCACCTTTCTTCCTTTGCTTCAAAAGTGACTTGAAAATTTTTTTTTTCTGCCAGCAGAAGCTATGCTAAAGGGTCCAATCAGTTGTAAACTCTTAGGAAACTTTAGGGTGAGCGCCTGCTTTGCTCCTATTGACCACACGAGATTATAGCAGGCTACTGATTTTCAGAATCATTGGCTTTTTGGCATGGGAAAGCAGAGCCAAAAAGACATTCCATCTTTGCAACCAGCTGGTGGCAAGCTTATGCATAAGGAAACAGCACCTCCAATTACAGCTGCCCATTTCCTCAGAGCATCCATCCAGAGAATTGCCATCAATTTTTCAATTCCACCAAGGAATTATGCCGTAGGATTGGAGAACTGATACAGAAGATCCATTTGCTCTCTCTTTTAGTTACAAAAAGTAGTGGGAATACTAGGATTGAGGGAAAGGTCTCTTTTCTCCCTGGCTTCTCTTGCCATCAATGGCAGAAGTGAGGGGAGAGAAGCAACAGAAAATAGCTTTTTTAGTGCCAGAACTCTGATCCCACAGTATTTAGCCACTAGTGCCAAAGAAAGCATTTCTCTCAGTCCCTCTCTCTTCCCTCTACTTCTGGGGTTTTGAGTATGGACAGAATCTCTGTTCTGCTTCAGTGTTGAGGTTTGGTATGGGTTTACATTGTACTTATTTCTTCTTTAAGCTGGTAGGTTTTTCTGCACAACAATATTATAAGAGCCAAATCACCATGGAAGAGCCAAATTACTGTCACATTAACTAAGCATCAAAAGGGCCCCAAAGACAACTTGCCACACTAATGAAAAGAGCTATTTGGGTCGGATTGTCATTCCAGGCTGGTGCAAATTTCTTCAGTTTAATTCTTTCTATATAGGACATTTTTATGAACAAAAGAGTAACTATTATCACACTAAAGGGATTTGCTTTTAATGATTAACTATTGCCATGTTAGAAATGGAAAATCTGTATCAGTCAAGTTACCATTAAACAGGAGAGCAACAAATATCTTCTACACTAAATATTGCCACCAAGTTAATTTCTCCTGTTCTGGAAATTATATTCTGTGACATGAATATATGAAGCACAAAGGATTAGAATCTGCATAACTATAGAATAAAAGAGATTCATAGAGTGAAGAAATCTGTTCTAACATTTGCGCTGCTTTGTGTCCTATTTGAAGATTTTAAACATCCTTTTGAATATTTTCCTCAAGTGACATCTTAATATGCATCTTATTCTGAAGATATATAGAGATATTCAATACAGGAAAATAATGAGGTAAATGTTCCTGTGTCTATCACCATTTAATAGGCAAATAAGTAGAGAAAATTTTTAACTGAATTCCCTATTTTTAAGTAAAATATCTTTGTTAACATTTCCCCATTCCTGGGGCTAAATACTTAATCCATAACATGTAAAGAACATGTTGTGTGAATTGCACAACATTTACCACACTATTAATCCAAGGGAACTCTAAATTGTAAATTGTATTCCTGTTTTCCTCCAAATAGAATGCAAGCCACCACAGACTATTAAATTCTTAACTTGAGGAATAATTTGTGTGATTATATTAATTACAATACACAAAAGTGCTTATCGGTTCAGTCCCATCCCTAACAATAGTAACAACATAGGCAGACATTTATACTGAGAGAGCCTCAGAAGTATCTAGATGACTCCCTCTAAAACTCCCAACTATTTTTTTCAATCCTCTTTCTTCAAACACTGCCTTATTCACTGCTATGTTAAAAGTGGCCTTTCTTAAAAGAAATATACATGTGCTACAGAAAGACTAGTTCCCTGCACCAGAGCAAGAATGTGTTACATGGGAAGCTCATAGGGTTGAGTGAGGGGGAGGGAGGGAGAGAGAAGGTATGACAGCAAGATAGCTTCCCAAACAGACCTGTATTCTATCAGTGTAGTTATCTAGCAGGAGGACTCCAGAGCTTGTAACTTTTTTAGTTTCTACCATCGTCTTTAAATCTGCCAGAAGTGACATGTGCTTGGACATATCTGTTGCCAAGACCTACATGAAAGGAGAAAGATTGTTTTATTTTTTGTTTTCGGGAGCAAAGCGTCATTTTCTGTTTTAACAAACAGCTAGAATATTATACAGAATCACATTCTTACCATGTCTATCACCATTTTCCTGAGACTTTGACGTTGTTTCTTGGTCAGATTGTGGAAGATGTCACAATGCTCTTCTTGTAGAAGCTTAAAGCCAACAGCAAGATGGTGGTTTTCCAAGACGGACTCATCATTGTACATTAAAGCAAGTTCAGAATCTAAATAAGAGAGAAGTCATGTATTTAAAAGGATCCTTAAGTACCATATATGATTTTATATCTAAGGAATGGCTTTTATAGCTACGACATCCTTCATTATGTTTGAAATAATTTATTTTTAAAAGAGAATGTAAATAAAATTAATGAAAGAATTTAAAAAATTCTTTAAAATTATTAAAGAATTTTAAAAAGAATTCAATGGTAGCCGAAATAAAAAGGCCACAGGTTTATTAATCCATTAAGATACTCTCAACTCACTTCAGATAAACTCCCAGTGTGTAAATTGAGCATAATTTTACTGATTACATACTTCGTTAGTTATGATTGTTTCTGTGTACTATTATTAAGTATCATGGAAATTGGAAAACCTTTGTAATGTGCAGATGTGGCCTCTATTGATAAGTAAACTCTGATATTCTCAACTTCATTTCTTAATGAGTATTCTAGATTTTCTTTATTCTTAATAAGAGAGTTCATGAGAATTAATTATACCCATTGTATGCGTATATGTGCGCACATTAAATGAACACAGAACTCACTTGTATTAATAAGGAACTGATTGGAGACACCAGGGTGATCTACATCGTGAATTGCTGCTGCAAAAATTGCTGCCAAAATTTCTAAATCAGTGAATACAGCCTAGAAACAGAAAAGATCAACACATAGACTTCAATGATAAATATAGCTCATCGTATCTATTAACTTATTACAACCTCCATAGGAAAAAAAATGCGCAATTAAAACTGTACATAAAGAACTGAAATCTTTTTTAAAAAAATTATTAGCTACTGCCAATTCATTTGGCTATGTATCTGTGTTTTGCTACAGTTTTTTGTGGGGATGCAGTAATTCCAATACATCCTCGACAAAACAGTAAAAAAGTAAAAATGTAAGTTTTGCAACTCACGTTCAAGTAATTTTTTAAAATATCAAAAAAAGCAGAATATTGCATAGGAAGCTATTAATACGATCTTATCTCAAAAATGTAAACCCACATTTATATTCTTAGCAATAAACTTGAAATAAATAAATCTGAACTAAACTATAAGACTTAATTGGTGAAAATCTAGCTTTTACATTAGTGAGATGACATAAAGGCATATTAAGGAGTATAAGATTCCATTCATTTGGGAAGGAGGTGAGCTTGCAGAAGGGCATGATTGCTGAGAATAAACAAAGAAACATTAAATGGGGTTCAACCAGAGGTGAAATGCTCCCGGTTCGGACCGGCTCGGGCGAGTAGGTAGCGATGGCGGCAGGCAGTTCGGAGAACCAGTAGCAAACATCCTTGCCCCCGTCCCCCATGCCCAGCTGAGCCACGCGATCATCAGAGGCTTTTTTTCTTTTAAATGCCTCTGACAATCCAAGCTCTGACGATCCCGGCTGAGTTGCCTGCCGATCAGGCAACTCAGCTGGGATCGTCAGAGCCATTTAAAAGAAAAAAAGTTTTTTTCTTTTAAATGGCTCTGATGATCCAAGCTCTGACGAGGGTTTTTAAAAAACCCTCTGATGATCAGGCAACTCAGCTGGGATCGTCAGAGCTTTTTGAAAGCATTTTTTAACATGGTTTTACATGTAAAAAATGGTTTTAAAAGTAAAAAAAAAAATGGCCACGCCCACCCAGTCACATTACCCCACCACCACCAAGCCATGCCCACAGAACCAGTAGTAACAAATTTTAGATTTCACCACTGGGTTCAACAGAAGATTTGAGAAATGGATGTCTACTTCTCATCACATGTTTTTTAATCTTCTAAAATATTATGGGATTGTCTATACTGTACTGTTCGCTTCAAGCAATCATGGACCTATATCAAGATGACAGATTACACTGTGAAATTCTATAAGCTCACCTATTTTCTTTATGTAACAGATTGGAAATTGGTTAATTAATTCAATTGCCTTGTGTGAAGGAACTTGTAGAAACAGTCGTGCTGTGCCAGAGGTATCAAAGCTAATGAATGGTGCATGAAATTTTACTTATTTTTACATTCAGCCTATTAATTAAAGCACGAGGCTATGACAAATTACCAAGTGTAAGCAAATTATTGTTTGTCAGGGGTGGGGGGAAGCAACTCACATCCAAAGCTGGTGTGGACAGAAGAACATGAGTAGATTGGGCTACATCAGCTGCATGGAGACTATTATGGTAAGCTACATCTGTGTGGTAGTGGTCTTCCAAAGTCATAGTGTAAGCTATAAAGGTGTCTGATGAGATTTTGAATGTCTTCAGTAGATCTCTTTCCTGTACAGAGTAATAGAAATTACAAGTAGTCAAAGTATGATTAAAAACCCAAAGCCTTTATTACTAAGAAAAGATGAAATTAGTACTGTTTTAAAGATATAGCAATTGGAAGATGATGATGATGATGATGATAATGATAATAATAATAATAATATCACAATTACTAACCTGGAAAATTGCATACATAATGCAAGTGAGAGGTCTACTGTGTGAGTATCTTGCAACATTAAATATATTCAATCCCCATTTATTCAGATCTTCTAGCTCCTAAAGAAAAATATATATAAAATAATGAATGCATAATGCATCATAAGGAGAATGAGGCCATATGTAGATTATAATTGCATTTATATAGAGATATCAAATCACTTTTTCCTTAAATCCTAAGGATACAAATTCTAACTACAGTTAGAATTACAGTTATCCCAAAAATATGACATATGAAAGGAGAAATAATTTATTATATTAACTAGTTTCTGAAAGTGTGACATTCCCTATCTCCCATTTTTCCTTATCCCTCCCATTGAAACTGTTTAACTGAGAGTTGATCTATATCAGTTTCAGGGCTGGGATAGTTCAGAAATTAATTTGAAGTCTTCCAGATAATTGTATCAATATATTTTTTCCTCTTAACAATAGTTTCTAACACTTTAGGATTAGAACTTTCTTCTTAAGAACATATTTGTCCTAATCCACTTGCATTGTTATTTTCCAAAGCTGTATCTAAACCTCTGAGTAAATTTTTCCACAACACAGCAGAAAATTGCCAAGATCATTGGGGGTGGGGGGCAGATTAAACTATTCCCTTTAGCTAAATTAATTTTTACAGTTTTATTTTCAGTAATTAGCAACATATTCCATGGAGGAAGTTACTATTACCATTTCTGTCTTTCAAAGCAGTCTCCTCAAAACAGATGGAAAAGGAAAAAGGATTTGTGAAGTATGACTAATATGTCTAGTTTACACATGTATTTGCAGTCTTCATTAAAAATACAAATATTATGAATCACACTGACCTTAGCTAAATGATCTTCCTTTTCTGTTTTCACACCAAATCTTGAAATACTAGTGTTATTCAAGCTTGAACTGTGCATTAACTTTTTTACACCACTGATCTGTGTCATAACCTGTTGCTTCTTCTTTTTCTCTCTGTCCTTCTGTGTAGGAGAAGGAATCTCCACATCATTCTGCTTGTCTGTATTAAAAAAGGATAAAAAATAATTTCAAATATTTATTAAACACATTGAGTTAGATCCAAATAGATTATTTTGTACCTGACAAGCTTTTGAAAATGGGCAGATATAGAATTTCAGAATTGTTTTCAAAATTGTCAGACACAAAATGAAGAATGCCTTCATTCCTTTGTTATTTTTTAATTAGATTTATATCCTGCTTTTTATTCAGAAACTTAGCAAAACAGTGACCGTCCCCTCCACTTATTTTGACCAATAATAAACTGTGAGGTAAGATGGGTTGAGAGACCATGACTAGCCCCAAACGATCCATGATTATCTGCTCTAAGCTAGAGCAAAATTTCTTGAGAAAACAATCTTTTGCCAAGGAAGCACTTCTCTACCCCTTCCAGAATCCTGGAAAGCATTAATGGTTGCTAAGTAACAATCTTCCTCAATGTTTCTCTACTTGTAAATATTATTGTTATTAACAATAATATTATTAATACCGTAAGCCACAGAGTCACGGAAGTGAGATAGGCAGCCATATAAATTCAACAAATTAAATATTTGCCTGCACTAATGTTATAATTAATAATGTTATAATTAATACTGCACGTTACTACCCAAGCTTATGGATATGTGGTTATGGTGTGCACATCTCTAATGTTGACATCGGAGAACCTTCCCCAGTTTTGTACTCTTGAGAGAGGACTTCAATTCCCAGCATTCCTTAGCCTCCATGGCCAGAGCTGAGAATTCTTGAAAGTCAGAGAGTTAAATTACTCTCAGCTGGAGAGCATGCAAATGAAGAAAGGTTATCAAAGAATTTGTTCCACCACATTTTGCCCTGTTAATTTTATAGCTTCCTAGATAACTTCCTGTTTCCTCAATCTCCTTTTCTGAAAAGAGATCCTTTCACTACCACGGAGATTGTTTCCTTAAAGATACTGAAATGTTGAGGTTGGCTTTGCTCAATTTTTTTTTTTTACAAGAAACAGATCCAATGTTAACTTAGCATACCTAGGAAAGTATTAGAAATATATTCAGAGACTTGATTCCCTGATCGGCTCATTTCTGAAAGATGTGTCAGCTCCCGGTTTAACATTCTCTTGAACTGTTGGTAATTAGAACATAAAAATTCAGGTTAAGAGTCTGCTTACTGGTGGATATACAATGCATTAAAATCCATATTAATTAGAACATATACCACATGACTAAACAAGACAGTCAGAAATACATTAAAACAAATAAAAAATATTTCCTAGTTGTCATGCAATCATCCACTGTTACATAAGTTTAAGGTTTAAAATATCATTTTTAAAAAAACAAAACAAAAGGTAATTACACTTTTACATAACTCTGGAAAACTATTTAGATTTTATAGCAGTTTTTGATTTCAGGTGTCCTTTAAAGACCTGTCATTAGTCTGTCATTTTTCTACTTATAATATAAAGGCAATTTCAACTTGCAGATATTTCTGACAGGAACATTAATCATGCTTATATAGTTTATATACATTGCTATTCAACATAAAACAATGCTGTCAGTTTGCATGCCGTCCTATTAACATTTACAGTTATTTGATTTTAATCCAGTATGAGTTTATTACTGATTAGTGATAAACCTGTTTTTCTCTTTATGATATATAGTAACACAAAGTATACTTATATCTGACATATATAGAGCAACTGGACTATTTCTTTTTTATTATTTAAACCCACCTTGATGTATCCCCAAGATACAGATAACAAATAGTTTGCCTCAGGCATTTTTGGAAGATTTTGCAGAGCAAAACAAGAAATCTCCTATGCAGAATCTGCAGATCAGGAGGAGGAATCTCTCAATAGCAAGAACAGTCTGGAGCCTTTGTCAGTGAAAGCCTAAAATTCCAGCAATCCTGGGTACTCCTGACTACACATCAGTTAGCATTGCTTTCCAGCCTAGCATGAAGACTGTGGTGTTGGAAATTGCAGGCGCAAGCACACACACACACACACGTACAAATGATACGATTGGCTGCATGAAGGAACCAGAAGATCTAATCCAAATGTTTGCAGCAAGTTATCTTAAAGCGCTTTGATGTTTGGCAGGCTGAAGGGGTATCCCCTTCCAGAAAGAACCGTGCACTTGAACACAGAGAGAGAAAAAAAGAGGAATAGCAGTTGCTTTTCACAGATATTGCCGTCTTTAGCAACAGACTCATCTAAAGATAAAACGGAGGAATCCCTGTGTTATATGCAAACAACAAAAAAAGGAAGTGAGCAATCAGTGCTCCTCTCAGTCAGGGCTTTTGTGATTGCATTAAATCCCTCTCCATCCACATTGTATATGTTTTCTACCTCATTATTAGTGTACTTCATGTTTTCTTAGGGTTTTTTTTTTTTAAATCATGGAGAATGCATCTCAAGGTATTAGCCACGTTCGAACGAGCAATACCAAATCGTGTTCATTCCTGCAACATGTTATTCGTGCAGCTCGAAACCTGAGATTATTGTCGTATTATCTTGCTACAACATCCGTTCCGAGAAGCAAGCCTTCCAACCTTCAATAAGACATTTCTTCCCTTGCGTCTGTTAAAGACTGCAGTCTAAACAATGCAACTTGAGATGCCTGACTTTTTCCAAAACGGTATTTTTTGGAATATTTTTTGGAGTATTTTTCGTGTGTCCTGTGTGTGTGTGTGTGTGCCAAGTGTCAAACAGAACCAGCTCCTCTGAGGCAAGATGCGTTACCACTAAATGGGAGATAATCCAAGATGAAATAACGATTGCCAATGAAAACCTACGCCAATTACTCTTTCCCTCTCCACCTTTCAGCCATCAGGAAATTCCTAAGAATACAACTGGGGGCACAATGCTTTTTTTCCTAATTAGCAGCCAGAGTTGTTTCATAACGTGACGATTTCCTCCGCCCCCCCCCGTGTCCCTTGTTAAGGGCTCCCATTCATCGGGTCAAGAGAATGCCATGGCAACAGGGCCACGTGACCGCCGGTCTCTCTTACTGGAAGGCTTCCCTCCCGATCCCCGTGTCGCAGCGGTGACGGCTCTGCCGCAAGAACCCCGCAAGCGGTGGAAACCAATTAGAAGCTAATTTCACAGTCTTAAAGAGCCCAGTATCCCGGCATAAAATTTCTTATGGTTAAAAAGAGAGAAGGGGGTGGGGTGGGGAAAGGAAGGGCTAAATAGCTAATTAGCAGATCCGAACGGGATCTATAAAAGCTGCTTTCAGGAAATCATCTTCTCCTCCTTAACAGAAAAGCCAGTTAAAATCTTAATAACAGCAATAACACTTGAGACTCATATACCACTTCACAGCCCTCTCTAAGCGGTTTACAGAGTCAGCATATTGCCCCCAACAATCTTGGGTCCTCGTTTTACAGACCACGGGAAGGATGGAAGGCTGAGTCAACCTTGAGCCTGGTGAGATTCGAACTGTCAAGCAGTCAGCAGAAGTAGCCTGCAGTACTGCATTCTAACTACTCTGCCACCAGGGTTTTCAAAATCTTAATAATAAACACAGCACCCTAATTTAGGAGCTCTGAACAGTTTAATGAGTTTGGGTTAATTTTAGAGAACCCTGATATTTAACTTATCTTGCATCCTGAATGTGTATATGTCCCCTTATTCAGCTGCTACCTTAATTGCTCTTAGGCTACCCTTTTTTAACCATAGCTACAGATGAGCCCCGTTTCTTGCATCATTGCCTTGCCCAACAGCATGCCTTTCCCCTTTCAGAAATCAATGGAATGAATACCTCAGGGAGATCAAGTGATAGGGCAGCCAACAGCATGATAGCAACTGTATGCCTGCTGCCTCTGTGGAATAAGCCTGGCCTCCTCCCTGCTTATTTTTACATTATCCATCTCTGCGCCATGAAACCTCAGCTTTGAATAACAACAAAGTTATGAAAAAATGAAGGGCCGAAAGGATTCTAACCATTTTATAAATGTGGTACTCAATTTCCTGCAGCTTTCAGAGTCTGGAATGAGAATGACTCTTTGAAGCAAGGACTTTTGGCAACCCCAATATCTTTATTGCCTTTCCCATTTTAAGGCTCTCCTGTTATCCAACCCATGACAGAGAGAAGGCAGAGCAGATTATTAAAAAAAAAACAAAAAACAGCAAAGATTCTTCCCCTTTTTAAAATTAGTGTTTATCATAAAAAATTAAAAAATAAAGTGCAGATGTTTTAGCCACTGTTAAGGTAGATGTTGATGTGGAAAACAACCAGTTCCTTGTCTTCAAAACCAATAAGAAACCAGTACATTCAGAAATCAATGTATTGTCACGAGTTATATGAATAGCATGCAAATTATACCCAAATTGTCCAATATAAAGTGAGAATATCCTATTTCAATTTGCTAAATGTTGGTTTCTAAAATTTGAAATAGGTACTTAGGATGCTTGACTAGGATTTTTTAAAAATTCATTGTGGTATGAGAGTGTTCATAATTAGTAACTGTATCTAAAATTGTTAGTATTATCTTGCAGAAACCTGACTAAAAAAACCTACATTGTAAATAAGTATGATCACTCATTATCAAATTATTTGGAAGTTTGCTTCTTCCTAACCACCAGAAACAATATTCCAATGAATCATAACACATAAAAGTTGGTGATGCTTCATCTTAGTCACAGAACTAAATAGGGGTCTTTCAAATTTAATACTAGTTTTAGTTTTTATGGAGTTTCTGTAAACAACTGATCAAAAATCAGGCAGTATTTTGATCTCAGAAATATCCATCAGAGACTGCAGATACAAAAGTTTGTAGCCATCTCATCAGAACAAACTCTTTAGCGCCCTCCATCTAATGCTTATCTCATTTTACTTTGGCATATAAAGATATGGTAGAGTGATTACATACTCTTTAATAGTTGAAAAATCAAGCCAATAAATATTTCAATACCAAAATTGCCTTGCTAATAGGAATTGTTGATATATTTCTAATGATGTAAAATTTTGGGAGTTAGGTGGCCTCAATATGAATGAATAAAAATCCTAGAACATCCAGCCTAGCTATGATTTGTCAAAAAAAAAAAAAAAAGTGAAAGGTGTCAGGATGTGATTTAGAAGAACATCCATGTTTAGTACCCTTGGGTTATTATTCCTATTAACTCTGCTATGACCCATGCTTTCTGTTAAAACACCTCTCTGAAACAGCGACATGGCTACCATGGCTACCTTATGCTAATAGTGTACTATGTTAATAATGTTTCTGTTATTTTTATTTGTGTCTTAAATATTGAATATGGAAATGCTTTGAATTTTAAGTACACCTGTAACCAAAATTTGAAATGCTAAAAGGCCAGGCACAGTCATTGTATTTATTTAACAGCTACATATAACTTTGAGGCTTTGAAATATAAACTGCAATATGCTTATAAAATATTACCTCTGGTGAGTTAAATGCTAAATGGACAGCTGCCTACAACGATAGATAAACTGAATAGGAACCTTTGGAATTGCCTGTTTGAATTTCTGCTTCAAAGAAGATACTACAGAAGCAGTCACATGAACAGTGGTAACTTCTGATCTGCGTCACTCTCCTCTAGCTCATGGAGGTTTACTGCCGAAAATGTCATAAGATATAGACAGGACAAGGTGTAAATGATGCTCAATGTGAAGGTCAGAAATCCTAGCTGTGTGGGCACATGGGAGAATAACTTTCGGCTGATGAATCTCATTTAAGACTCACATCAAAGGATCAGTAGGCAAGCCTTAAAGTATCCCAGAAATTGGGAACAAAAATGCAGCTTAATATATTTAGTTTCATACTTGTAATCACAAAATAAAACGCTGCAATATAAATGCTAAAAATCTGAAAAGGAGATTGAAATTATTAAGAAGAGATTGTCTCTTAGGTTAAAATTTGATAATGGAGAATTCCTTTTATTTTATTCATTTTTTGAGAGCCTGGTTACCTACCTAGATCAGGGCTGTCAAACTTGCGGCCCGTGGACTAGATGAGTCATGCGCTGCCCACGCCTGGTTTAGCGAAGGGGAAAAAAGTTGTGATACGTCACGTGACAACGCCGTGACGACGCGAGTTTGACACCCCTGACTTAGATAATAAAAACTGGCACAAAGTTTTCTATGAAAACAGCATGAATGTTG